GGTATTAGTGGCTCACTTAACTCATTGGGTGGAAGCAATCCCCCACACCAAGGGCAATGGCAAGCATGGTATCCAAGGTGTTACTGGAAAACATTATCCCCAGATATGGATTAATAGAAAGAATAGACTTGGGCGGAGGAACATATTTCATTTTAAAAAAAAAATTATACAACAGCTATCTGAAGCCTTAGGGATCGAATGGGCATGGCACACCTCATGGCATCCTCGGAGTTCTGGAAGAGGAGAAAGAATGAATCAAACTTCAAAACAAACCTTGACTAAGATAATGATTGAGACTCAGATGTCTTGGATTAAATGCCTGCCGTTGGCCTTATTAAGGATCAATACTCAGCCACGAACAGACCTGGGAATTTCTCCCTATGAAATGATGTTTGGATTACTATGTATGAGTAATGACAGGGATATTGTCATCCCTGAAGTAGGAGATCAGTATGTAAGAAAGTATGTAATAAGAATTGGTAACACTTTAATGAAACATTGGTAACACTTTAATGAAACTGAGAAAGAAAGGACTTCTGCCTCAAATACCACCATTGGCTTTTAAATATCCACAATGTAAAACCAGGTGATTGGGTATTGATAAAAGTGTGGAAAGATTAATCATTAACTCCCGAGTGGGAAGGTCCATTTCAGGTGCTGCTGATCACCGAGACAGCGATCCGAACAAAAGAAAAGGGGTGGACTCTTGCCTCCTGAGGAAAAGGACTGGTGGAAAAGCCTCAGGAGTGGACTGTGGTACCATCAACTGATCGACTACAAGTCACCCTCAAAGGACTAAGTAAATTCATCAGGAGGGGATTGAATGACTCTTAACCAGTGGTTTGACTGGGTTTTTGACTGGGTTCAGAGGTAACACTGTGAAAATTTACTTATTCATTTACTTACTTGCTGTATAAGGAAACAAAAACAAAAAAAAAAAAAAACAGACAAAACCAAACAAAAAAACTGTCAGGGAAAAGCTGGCGTTTACCGAGCATTAACTGACAGACATGTTACAGAGTGGCTTTTGGTAACAGATTATGAGCATTTTGGATTCGATTAGGCATTGCTAGAAAATCAACCTAATAGGGTAATACCTTGTCTCGAGTGTATGTATGGATGTCATGAAGCGTGGGTTTTGTGTGAATGTGAAATGTGTTACCGGATGTGGTATTTCTTGCAGATGGAGAAAATTGTCTTATAACTGTATAGGGAAGGGGCATGAACTGTAACCTTGATTTACGGGGAAAAAGAGGTTAGTCCCCAGAATTTGTGATGTCCCTGAGAGTTGATGGGAGGACACTATCGGAAAGTGCCAAAATTTTGCTTTGCTTAGAAACAAAGGAAGTGGCTACAAAGGAGCTGCACTTGAACTGACTAACTCTTAACACACGGATTTGTTAAACAGTAGAGGGCAAGACCGGGTTAACCTCTGTGCTCGCCACCAAGAAGACCTTTTTTCTCAGCTGTGGGCTGCAACCCCATAGGCATGAGAGGTGGGAGTATATGTTATACCGGACCTCTGCTAATCATCCTGGTATGGTTTGCTTTAATAGTGGCAAATTTGTGCAGCAAGTGCTTTACTGTTATGTCCAACATCAGAGTGGCTTTGCTTTCCCAAAGACAGAAGGGTGGATGGAGATATTTTAGTGGGAAGAAGAGAATCCAAGTAAAAGATGTGACAGAAGTAAAACAGCCAGTACCAAAACCGCCGAAAAGACCTATAACAGAATTTTCGACATGGTTAACCAAAGGAGATGGTGGTTTACATAAGCAGATACAACTACATGGGCACTTGAAAGAGGAACATTTACAAGGGCAAAAGATATGTAGTAAAAAGGCAAACAAAGTGAGGGCTACCAACATCAAGGCTGCACAATAAATTGCTGCCCATGCATAAGCACGCTCCATTGTTTTCGCGGTATCGGAGGTACAAGAGTGAGAGCGCGAGTGGCGAACCTGCCTGGTCTGTAGGGATCAGGAGTCAGGGTCCACATACGCAGCAGGAAAATGGATTTCCACGCCCCCAGTCCAAAGCGCATGTGTTGTTGGAGGGTCTCGAAAGTTCGGCTATACCCGGATGGCAAAAACAACTGCCAGGCCCGCCCAGATCTAGGCAGCACAGGCATTCTGGGTGGAAGAGAAACTTCCGCTCATTGCGCACTTGGACCTTCCTCGGACAAGCCGCTAGCCTGGGGCTGGACTATCCCACTAATCTTACTGATCCCGCTGGATTGCAATCTTGGGAAGATGGGAGTAGGGGACGATCCCGTGTGCGCCGGCCTGCTGTTGGGATTTTTCATTATATTGGTGGTGACTGTCGTTGCCATCGCGGTATGCGAGGGAATGTCTCGTGGCTGGTGTCGGAGATCACCTCCTCCCCCCAATCCTCCAAGATCACGAAGACAACTAAGACGCCCTCGAAACCTTGATGAGGTGATGGAAACAGACTTATAGTTCAAAGAAGAAAATGTTATTGATCAGAGGAGTTACCGCGCGGCGTGTGACTGTTGTTCTTGGACTCTATCTTTCTGTCGCTATCGCCCCGTGAGTAAGGGTAACAAGACATCGAAGGACAACATCCAAAGGACAGTGCTGATATCTTTGGTTCTTACTTTTTCTCTTTCTGATTGTGTCGCGTGGGACTTTGCTGGATTGTTATACAGTTAATTATTTCAGGTTCTTGTTTGCTAATAAATTGTTGATTATTGTTTACAGAGTGTCTGATAGTACGGTTGACTGTGCAGTTCGGCACACAGCTCGAATTTGCTTAACACCAACAGGTGAAACAGTAGTAGCAAATTGCATGTTGGTCACAACTTGTTGGATTAACTGAACAAAGCAAGGAATAAATAACACACGGCAAAAACATTAAGGCGACAACTGCACATAGCAGATAGAATAAGAGCTGTTTTACCTATGGTGCTCTGAAAACACCCTCAATGTTAGACTCAGAATGGTGGGATGATCTATTAGGAGCTTCCTGGTGGAAAAGATTGTTGTGAATGCGTTATGCCACGTGAAAACTATGATTGTAATTGTAAGGTATTATCTTGAGAGTGTTATGATAAATGTTGGAATTGTGGAAAAAGGTTTGTTTGCAGTGACGAAAATGAAAGTAGCATCTAATAAACAATAATAGGATAAAAGAAAAAGGGGGGATTGTAAGAAACTATGAACTAAGGGTATTGTTTATTGAAATTTATGTTAAGCTCAATGTAAAGGTTAGGCGGCAAAAGACAAAAAAACTGCTTATGCAAATAGCTGCCAGACACCACTTGTGTGAGACAAGATAACCTGTGAGACAAGATGACTGCGTGAGATAAGATAACCGCAATTGCTTACACAAACCAGATACTTGTGCAAGCAGAAGGGGGTACTGATCAAAGACAACCACGAATGTAAAAATGTATAAAAAGGAACTGTTTGAACTGATCAGTACGGCAGTTGGCGGAGCGCAGACTCCCCTGTCGTCCAGCGCTGTCTTTGCTCATATTCTACTTGCTATAATTAATAAAATTATAATTGGATTATGATCCATTGTGGTCTCAATTTATAACATCCACCACAACCTTCTCCTCTCCTTAAAGAAAATACATGAGTTTAAGTTATACAGTATATTGATATCTCCCTCTGATCTTACTGTAACAAAAACACACTCCTAATATCATAAGGCATCAGGAATAATCTTAGCTATGTCAAGCACATAAGAGGTAAACAACATTTCCTCCCTTTCCCCATTTATTCCCACTCTTGTTTGAATGAATTATTTTGAAGTAAGTGCTCTATTTCTTTCTCATTCATTCAGCACTCTCCAGTACCTTCTAATCAAAACGTGTAGAGCAATGTGTACATTGTAGAGAGCCTAATTAAGTGTACATGTGCTGTCTGTAATTGCTCAGGAAATATCAAAATTTCCTATTGCACATAATGGTATTGTTGTCCCTAAATCTGGGTTCTTTCAGCTGGTGTGCAATGAGCCGAAAACCAGAGTCAAGACATTTGTTTAATCCGTTTCTGCGCAGCGACGGGTGCTAGGTGGTAATTCCACAAAGCTAGCACACCACACACAGGCAAGCGAAGTATTTATACACTTCAAATTACAAGAATACATGTTTAATGTAATGCCCTGTGGTTAGTTTCTTACCACTTTGTTCCTCATTGGTTAACAACAGACCTCATCTCCATTTGAAGTTACAGCACCTTTTTACTATTCTGCCTAACCCAAAAGGTGAGTGTTTTAGGGCTTTTTCTCATCAAGAGGTGTAGTTTTCACATTATGAGCTAAATTCTTCTAAAGGACACGACTTGGGCAGTCTTTACGGTATCTCTGAGCACATGACCAAGGGAGGTTTCTTTGTTCCTCAATTCAAAGTTCCGTCTGTTCTTTTCTTTGTTTTGCAGGGCTATTATCTCCTACCAAGGCCTTGTCCTGTGAAATGTCTCTTTTTGTTTTAATCTTTCATCAGTATTTGAGCCATTCACCATGAATGCTCACCTCCCATTAAAACCTCTGATAGCACTGCCGTCCCTTTGCCGGTGCCCGGCTTTTAGAAGTTGACTTCTAAGAAATACCAGTGAGGAACTGGCGCGGCCAGCTGAGGCCCCCGAGCTGCACTTCCCGGGGGCCGTGCTTCCCGCCCTGCCCGGAGCCAAGGCGCCCTCAGGGGCCAGGCCCGGGCCGCGACAAGAGACCCCTCAGACCCAACCGAGCGGAGGGGCAGGACACGCCAGGCTGTACGGGACCACCTTCCCGGAAAGACTGGGTCTAGGGCTTGCATTCGGGAACCAGAGAGCTTTCACCGGCCTGCGGTGTGGCCCGAAGGAGCCAGAGGCAAGCTGGCGGGAACCCCGCCGCCGGCCCCCGGGCCGAGTAGCGCCCGGCGACTTTTCCGTAAGGGCCCGGCCCCCGTCCCGCCGCGCGCCGCTGCGCACTTTGCGTAACCCCGCTCCTTCCGTCGCGCGGTCGCCGCTCACCGCCGTCAGAAGGGGGCGGGACGTGCGCTACGCAGGCGAGTGCGAGAATCGCCGTAGCTGGCGCCGGAGGCGTAAGGGGTGGGACTCTGCCCCCGCCCCGCCCGCGGTGCCGGCGCGGAGGTTCCGCGCTCCCGTGCCGTCCCGCCGCCGTCGCCATGGCTGCCCCGGGGCCGGCCCGCCTCCTCCGCGCCGCCGCTGCTTCCTCCCGCCGCTGGCTCTTCTCCGCCTCGCCGGCAGGCGGGACGAGGCCGGGCTGCGGCAGCGCTGCCGTGAGGGCAGCCCGGCTGTTCAGCCTTTCTGCCCGGGCGGTCCTCAGGTAAGAGGGTCGGGGCCCTGAGGCGCCGGGCGGGCTCCTCACGGCGGCGGCCGCCGCCTTCGGTACGGTGCTGGGCCGCCGCCTGGGCCCCGGGGCTGAGGGCGCCTGGGCCCCGGGGCTGAGGGCACCCGGGCGGGGGCGGGCGCTGCGTGACCTTCCCCCGGGCGCTCGCGGCCCCGCCGTGCCCCGCTGTCCCGGCCCTGCCGCTGCCCGGCCCGCTCGGGGCACGTCCCGGCCCCGCTTCGCCCCGGGGCGGTGGCACCGAAGGGCTCTGCGGGAGAGGAGAAACCTTCCACTGACTGCCCCCGGGGCGCCAGCCGCGCCCCGCGGGGCTGTACTGGGGGCCGGAGGTGCCTGCGGGCCGGCCCTGCGGGGTGGCTCGGCCACGGGGCCCAGGGGATCCGGGGTCCCGTTGAAAGCTGGTAACGTTATGAAAAGCTAAACTAGGGTTCCTCATGCTCAGAGTAGCATTTTGAAAGCCTGTGACCTTATCAGTGTTGCTTTTCCGTGCAGTGCTTGCTTTTTTTTTTTTTTTTTTTTTGGTGAAACTCTGACTAGGTAGAAGTACAGCACACATGAGTGAGAGCCTAATACTGAAGATCTCTTTTGCCTTTGGTATAGTTTTTCTTTACTGAAGAGCACTCGTGCATCTTGAGTGTGCAGAACCCCTCCTCTCCTCACCAGTGTGTGTGAGTAGGTGTTTCAAAATGCATTACATCTGTAGGCATTTAATATTCCACAGCCCACAACTATAGACTTGTAACTTGGTACATGTAGTTAAAGGCTGTGTTTATGCATGGCCTTCTGGCTATTATATTCAAAGATAGGTCAGAGTCTACAGGTCACTGTTGGTATTTAAAATACAGAAGCTTTAAAAGCCTAATTTATTTGCTAGAGAAGTTTCTTTGACTTGGAACAGGGTCCACACTCAGTTGTCCAACAGCAGGGGCGTAGCCTACTCTGTTTCCTGAGGGTTGGGTAGTGCCCTCGCCATCAAAGTTGTTCCAATAGCTTGCTTTTAAACTTTCCTGTAGGTGCTCTTTTACTTCGTTCCAGCAGATACTTTTATTGTGGAGGGACAAACTAACTTTTTGGTCTAGGACTCTCATATGAGATTGGTAAATTGCTAGTTTAGATCTTTTGTCTGAGTGACCCTGCTGAGTGGCTTAAAAATAAGTCTCCACTGAATGACTGACCCTCACATTTCTCCATTAGAAAGAGATCAGTTTAAGCTGATCATAAAGTTTAGATTATGTTTTTGCATCATAAAGTTTTAATAAAGCAATTGTTTTAAACTGATGTAAATTTAATTTAAGGGGCAGATCTGAATGTACCAGTTTTGATGTTCATACGGCCATTGACCTGTGAGGTTTGGGTTTCAGCCAGGTTTGTCTCCGGACGCAGTTTACTGCATGGCAGTGTGGGCACTGGGGGTAGGAGGAGCAAAGGAAGGAGGGCAGGACTGTTCTTGTGACACTGTGGTGCTATGCCAGATTAGAGTGTAATCACAGGTGAAGACCATTTCAGGTGTGTTTTGAAAACTGGGAGGAGGATGACTTGTCTTTTACAAAGGTTCCAGTGGTCTAATGGATGGCCAAACATCTTGCTCTTTGGTCCATGTTACTTGTGATCGCTTCACCATATAATAGAGGAAAGGGTATGTTTTGGATATTGAACAAATACTTAGTACTTGGGTTTACAGGCAGCCTCTGCCCAAGGTGGCAAGTGCATCTTGCACTGTGTTTCTTGTCATGCTGACAGAAATATTTCAGTAGATGGGAGTGTATTTCCGTGAGCTTTGGAAAGAGCTTTTTGGAGCAGTTTAAAACTACACCATTAGTAGTTTACTTTGACTGTTAGAATGTGAATACCTTTCTAGATGCAATCGAAACCCATCAGTCTTAAACTACCAGTGGAAGTGGTGAATTTTGTACTAGTATATCTAAGAGGTGGGTGCTCGTTTCCTTGATTGTGCTGTGGGAGGTGTTAGCACAGTAGAGGAGTAAAATGAAGAGCAGAGTGGTAACTTAAACCCTCACAGAATGGTTTGCTGGAGGTGGTCCTTCGGTGTCACAGGTGACTATGCAACATTAATTACATGTTGTAAAGATACATCTTCAAAATTTCTGAATTTTATTATAGTGCATGCTTCAGTTGCATTCTGCAGATCAGCAAGGTCAATCATTATTGATTATAATTTTGGAATGAACTTAATAGTAGCTTGTGGCTGCCTTCTGGAGAATGGACTGAAGGATGATATGACAAGAATTGAACATGACATCATAATGAATCACAGTGTGAACTGCTGCCAACTGAGCTTACAGTTGCAGGAAGTAGATTAAGTATAGAGCAACAAACATTTGTTGTTTTTCAAAACAAGCTAGGACTTGGATTGCTAAAAACACATTTTCGTTTACAGCCAGATCCAAAAATAATCTTCACTGATGTTTCAGTATGGCCACTTTAAAATTTTTGCTTTAATACTCAGCTCTATAGGTTAGAGTTTTCCAAGGGGTGACTTGATTTTCAAACTTGTATGCTTTCCATATGATAGATCATTCAAGGCCCACAGTTACTATAAAGATTAAAGGTAACATTAAGCATGCTGTTCCTAAACATGGATTTCACATTGAAACACAGATTTTTGCATTACCTCTTAATTGTTATGTTTTATCTCCTATCTCTTGACAGGTTTCTTCACTGTCCATCCAACAAGTTTTTCTTGTTTTGCTCACTTACTATAGGAAAGAAAGTAACAAACAAACTGTATTTTATTTGTTAGTATATTAAAAGCTTTCCTTTAGCTTGCATGTGAAATAACAGAATACGGAACACAAAAAAACTCTTTCTTAAGAGTAAAGCGTTTAATATGAGGGGAAAAAAAAAGTCTTATGTAGACTGCAAGAGAATTTTTTCTTAAGCAAACATAATAATCTGAAAAGCAAAGCAGGAAAACAGACACCTTTCTCTTAAGTCAATTTCAAAACTTTGAACTTCACTAGAATTAATATTTACAACGTGAAATCCTAAGAGAATCTCTGCTCAAAAAAGCAGAATGCTTTTGGAATATTTCAGTTTTGGGGGAGGAGAATTAGATTTTGGAACTATTAATGTAAAATGTCTTAAACTTTAAGGAGAAATGGGGAAATTTAAAATCTGTACTAAATGATGAGAACAATTACAATTTCATAAATCCAAAGCAATCGTCTGCAGAAAGGTATGTAGAGAAGCATTTAAAATAAACTTTCTTATTTGATAAAAATACAAACATTGTGCCTAAAATAAAATAGCTCTGTCTCTCTTCGGTGAAAGGCAAAACATCAGGATCCTATATAGCTTCTAGTGATAAAACACAAACCATGTTTGTTTGGTTGGTTTTTTTCTTGTCCTTTGTTCAATGTACAGCAGGAAATGCCTGTACCTGTTGCAGCTTTTAGAAGGCAATAATTTAGGGGCTTGTGCTCTTAGAGTTGATAGTGATTACAGGTTTAGTAGTATTCAATCAATTTTAAAGATCTAAAATATTTTAAAGTATTTCTTTAATTCCATTATATACTTTTGTTTTTCAGCTCAGAAGATAAAATAACTGTTCATTTCATAAATCGTGATGGTGACAAACTAACAGCCAAAGGAAAACCTGGGGATTCACTGCTGGATGTTGTTGTTGATAATAATTTAGACATAGATGGTTTTGGTAAGTACATTCACTGAATACTGTAATCAGTGTCTAGGAATTATGTTCTGTTACCAATTTATTCATAAGTATTTCTAGAATTATAGAAGCATTTAGGTTGGAAAAGACCCTAAAGATTGAGTCCAACTGTAAATTAGTATTTATTTATATAACATAGCTGTACTTTATTTGGATTTTCTCTTTTTTTTTTTTTTTTTTTTTTCCTGCAGGTGCATAGAATATTTTGGGTCAGGTTCTAAAAAAATATTTGGGGTGAGCCTTCCTTGAATGTTAAAGGAGAGGAATACGGACACAGTGCTGTCAGGGTGGAATCTGAAAGATGCCACCTGTAGACTTCTGAGCTGAAAGGTTCTGGAGGCAATGCAAAACTGGTGTATTTCTAACAGTGCCTGGTTACTTCTGTATTGCCATACTGTCAATTTATTATTGTTTTTTTTGTAGCACAAATTGCTGTAGTATTTGAGTGCTAAGTGAAAGAAACAACTAAAACCACATCAGTTATCAGGGAAGAACAAAAAGCTTAATTTTTGTTAAAGGACTGGAGTAAAGGAGACCAATGCCCTAGTGAATTTCTAACTTGGTACAAGTTCTGTTTAAAATTAGAATAGGAGGGAGTTAACACCTCTCTATTCCTTAAAAGTTGCACTTTCCATAGTTAGTTCCACTGAAGTTATAGGATTCTGCCCATGCAAAGCAGCGGTATTGGGTAATGGCAATTAAATACCTCAGGAAAGGTATTTACATGAACATGAACTTAAGAATTAATAGTACAAACTAAAGCAGGATATGGAAGTACAATTTGTGTGAGTGTGTAGCATGGAGCAATTGGAAAAAAAAATAAATAGGCTAATGTAGCACAGTTTGAAATCTGAGGTGTGTTTTATTTAAGTGCAAATAAATTTCACTGCTAATAAAAAAATCTTTAAGATTTAAAATCGCAGGCATATGTCTGAGAGAGCTTTTATGTCTAGAGTTACATACATCTGGGGAAGAGGAATTGTCCCTTAAAAATCTGTAATACATTGGGATAACTAGCTTTATGTATCACTTATTAAACATGTCATATAGGCTTATGGCTAGCTGGCTTGTATTCTACGGTAAATATTCTCTCAGTCTGTGTAAATATTGACCGTGTTAAAGTATTGTGGTAAAGGGGGAGGAGATAATGCAGTCAATAAACAGAAGCCAACTAAAAATTGGAGATACTGTAACAGTCTTTAAATATAACATATGCTAGTTCCATTTCAATAATCATTTGCTAATGAAACATCATACTAGGGCAGAGAAATAATGCAGTAGAAATAATGTAAAAATGTATGTTTTGTGTTTAGGAGAAAAGTAATGAGGGGAAAAATGTAAAATATAAATCTTACCTATTTACTTCTATCACTAGGGGGCATCCCATGTGCAGAAATAATAGGAATATCTTTGTATAAAGACTTACAAAACTGTTGAATGATTCAGCTGCACTCAGTTTGTTTGCTGCTGTTAGCTTTACAGTTGCAAAAAGACCTTCCGCTAGTCAGATAGACTGGTCAGTTTTCATTCTTTTTTGCCCCCATGCTTCTTCCCTCAACTCTCTCAACATTACAGTGCTTAAGCCACTGATGTGAAAAATTTTATGTTATTTGGCACTTTATTTAAGCTCAGCTTTTTCACATGCATTTGTATATAATTGAAGACTTGATATATTCTAAAAATCAAGTCTTCTCGTACAGTGTCATGCTCACTTTGAATATATGCTGTTGATACCATTACTACATGTAAGAGCGTGGTGCTTTCTGAATGGTTCTGGTGGTTTGATGATGAATCCTACTGTGTTTTTTTCATAGCAGTGGTTATACATACAGCCTTGCTTCCCTTTGTTTCCATATGAGTACAAAAGTCACAATGCTCTTGGATCTGCTTTCCCTGGAAATGGGTAAATAAAAGAAACTTGGCTAATGTATTACCTGCTTCTCTCGTAACAATTTAAATCAGAGGTGGTGGTTTGTGTGCCCCAACCTCCATGCAAGTATGAAGAGTTCAGCTTTCTTCTCCTCTTGACGTTGCATGTTTCTTTTTCAACAAAGGGGACAACTCAGTGCCAGACCTAGACAGTAGCAGAGACAAATTTGTTAGTGTTCAAACTTTTACTATCCTGTGATGACCTAATTGTTCTAGCAGGTAGATGTAGTTGTTGCTTGTTCTTTTCAACCCTTGCAAATTATTAGATCCTTGGCTCGAGCTGAATTGCCTAGTAATACACGTAAGCCTCTAACACAGAGAAAACTATCTCCATCTAGCCTGACTGCCTTTGTTGCTGTGAATTAGTGTGCAGTTGAGTGAGAAGAAACACCAAATATGAAGTCCTTCCTCCCTGTATCTTCTGAGGAATTTTTTTGCGTAGCAGGTTTCTTCTGTTGAAGTTCTTGAGGAAACCTTCTCAAACCCATGGGAAAGAGAGGGATAGAAGGATCAGCCTTGGAAGTAGATTAAGTAGAGTTGATTGGCAGCATTGTCTGCTTTTGCATTCTTATAGTAGAAAACTTTTCCCTTTAAATGGTAGAAAGGGAATTAAATATTTTAACTACAGCATTCAAGTAAATCTTAATGTTCTAGGAACTATAGAAATACTGTTGACAGGTGAATGCAGAGTAGATACATGACTGAGAATATCCAAAACATTAATTTTACTAATCAACAGATACTCCTTGTATTAGACAAACACTTAAACATGAAGGATTTCGTTTGAAATTCTGCTGTAATTTGAAACTTTGATTTTCTATTATCTTGATTTTTTTTTTCTTTAGGTGCATGTGAAGGAACGCTAGCCTGTTCGACTTGTCATTTAATCTTTGAAGACCACATATTTGAGAAACTAGATGCAATTACTGATGAAGAGATGGACATGCTGGACCTGGCATATGGCCTTACAGAAACGTAAGACAACATTACACTTAACTACATCAAAGAATGGAAAGAAGGATTTACAGATGGAGCAGTCCAGTATTCTTAGAATGCCTTGATCAGCATTTAATGAATAGCTGGATTCTGCTACAGAAAAGGGACTGCGAAGTTTAAATATTGTTTATCTGAATTTATATTTAAAAGATGTCAGTATCAGTTCTGTTACTGAAGAGTGGCAGTTGCCAGTACTTGCTCTTCAGAGGTGACTGATGCAGAAGTGTCAGATACTGAAGTATGACCAAAAACCCAGTTCCTTCAACAAAAACATTGCCACTGCTGTCCTGTGTGAATTTACTTGTTCTTGTTTCCTTTCCCTCCTGTTCTGTTTTCTGTCTCCGTCAGCCTGTAGCTAGGTAATGTATTTTATGAATGTGTTTACATTAGTATTTTAGTTTTGGTCAGATCTTCTTTTCACAGAATCACAGAAGGGTTGAGGCTGGAGGGGACCTCTTGAGGTCAACTGGTCCAACTCCCCTGCCCAAGTAGGGCCACCTAGAGCTGATACCTAGGATCATGTCCAAATGGCTTTTGAATATCTCCAAGGATGGAGACTCCACAACTGCTCTGATATTTATGTACCTTGATAAAATCCTCCCCTTGAGCCTTCTCTAGGACAGTGTCCCTACTTGTCATGCTTTGACTTATGTCAGTGTGCTCTTTTGGCCCACAAGCCCTTTTGGGTGAAACCAGTCCTGAAGTGTGCTCTGACTGCTAATGGGCATTTCGGTGCATAGGATTGGACTAGTGATAGTCTAAAGGAACCCTTTGTGCTACATTTCCCCTGTCATCACATGCCTTGTAATTAGGGTGTCACATCTTTGTCACAGACCAATTCCTAGTGGTCTGTGCTACTTGCTGGTGTGTACATGCATCCTGTATCATAGAACACACCCACGTGAACAGTAGGCAGCTATGACTTACAAGGTTTCATAAACCCTTTCCTTCATGCTTCAGTGGAACTGCTTGTTGAAGTTTTTGAGAATCTTTCCAATTAAGCCAGAGGGCTTTATACCTGGCCTGTTTTTTATGTATCTGCAAAGAAGTGCTCTGAATGAACTCATTTATTTCTTTATATCAGTAATGACAATCCTGTACTAATAATTTCTACATGAGTACACTATTTCTCACTTCAGCCAAATCTTAACTTTTCTGGGAGGTTGTGAAGGCAAAGAAGTGAAGCTATGAGAAACTTTCTTCAGCTTCTTTGGTTTTATCTATTTTCCCATCTCCCAAAAAACACTTTCAATTTTAAAAAAATCATAAGCCTAGTAAGTGTGAATTTACCTCATTCTTAACATCTACTGTAATTCTCCTAAGAGTTATTTTTTTAGGTTCTTGGCCAAACCAATTCCTAAATAGATCTGGAGGCCACTGATCTAATAGAAAACTTTTTATTTGGCTATCTTTAATTAAAGGTTTAAAGCAAGGAGTTTATACTGAAGATCCGAAAAACAGTAGAAAGGCAGAGCTCTGTTTAAATATTTTTATTTTCTCTCAAAGTTCTTCATACCAAATTAAGTCTTAGACTCTCTGAAGACACTTGTTACTTCTGTCAGGTTTCCCTAACATCACATGTTCTTCATGTGGCCAGGGATCTTTCATATGTGTGAGAAGATGAGTTTTCAGGAAAACAGACCTTTAAGTGATGGATATTTGCTACAGGTTACCTGGTCTCCTGTGCTGATATAAACCTCTGTAATGGAGTTGCACTACTGTGCTCTATCATAAAAGCTTTCATTCTTATATATTCTTGTCAGTGTCTCTCTGTATTTGGGAAAGCTTCAGCTAGCAGCCACCATAAAAACTCATAAAGTTTAAAATGAGGGACTAATGAGAAGTTAAAATTAATTTGTTTTGGTTAACTGCAGAACACTAGGGACTATGAAAAGTATTAAGGTGGGGGGGACGCAAGCCCTGGCAAGTTAAATATTTAAAGCATACTGAATTGAAAAAATAAGCTGGGAAACAGCTTGCTAAAAAGCAGAAAAATACTTCTGGTTCTAACCTATCAGAAGGAGGAAATGTGTCTGCATGAAGAGTCAATGGGTTATGCAGAAGGTGTGCTTAAAATATAAAAAGATAAAGTTTCTTTTGCATTGTTGTCTCGAGAGATGTTTCGGGATGTCCATGCACTGGAAGGTTTCTTTGCAGAGGGCTTCCTGGAGTATGTGTCTCAAACTGGTATGTCCATACGAGTAATACTACAGCAAATAAGTAAAATGAGTAGAAACAAACGGTAGTGACTAGGTAGCATTCACCCAGAAGTTCTAGAGTAATCCAATAAGACATTTCTGAACTACTATCTGAGGCTTAATTAGTTGGTTTAAAACTGTCTCCACATCAAAGGAATGGAAGGTAGCAAGCCAGCTTTTAAAATGAGATCATTGGAACTGAAGAACAGAGAGTCTGATTCCATGCTGGACATGTTAATCATGTGTCTATGGGCTGCTGCTTTTCTACAGTTTCTACTACATAATGGTACAGAAAGAATTCAACAGAGTTTTTGTAGAAGGGTGTAACAGATACCAGAGTTCTTCAAATGAGTCACTGAGCATGAATCTTACAGTTCACATAGTTCACATAGGTCCAGAAATCCTTTACTAAGTTTTGAGTTGCAATGGGGTAAGAGCAAAGGCCCTGTAAAGGATAAGTAATTGGTTAAAAAACATTTGTCTCTTGACAAGGTAGAAGTATTTGGCTGTCTGGTAAGAATATGTGAACAACAGTGTGATCTAAAAGTGATTAGTGCTAGGTTTTATGTAGTGAATGTATTTGAGAAAGACGTGGGAAAAGAGAATAAAGAGTAAGGTTTGTGTATAGTGTTGTGTTACTCTGTGGTAAAATTGAAAACTGTCAGTGAAGATGTGCGCACAGCTCTTGTGCCATTGAGCAACAGGAAACAAAGTTTGGTGTTAAAAGGTACAGATAAGCGTATCGAGAGGTCGGTAGAACAGTAGTAACTTTGCATACTTGAAATAGGCTGTCGGCTAGCTAGTCTATCCAGGAATGTCAGCTTAAGGTTTGATGTTCAAAAAAACCCCCAAAACAACAAAAAAACCCCACCAAACAAACAAAAAACCTCAACAACAAAAAACCAACCAAGCAAAAAAAAAAACCCCAAACCCTGCCAACCCTCTGCAGAACAAAACAAAAAAAAAAGGCAAGAAAAAAACCCAACAAAACCCAACCCACCAAAAAAAAAAAAAAAACAACCAAACAAACCACCAAAAACCCCCCAACCCTCAAAACCCTCAAAAAGGTAAATGGAACATTGGCAATATTATATAGGAACAGGTAGAAAACGATAAAATACCGTTACATGACAAAATGGGGATTCACCATATCTTTATACTTGTACAACTCTAACTTCCTGCTTTGTTGGTTGGATATTTTTTTTTTGCTCTTTTTTTTTTGTTTGTTTGTTTTTTTTTATAGTAGTAGAATGAGAGGAAATAAAGGGAAAGCCTGTAAAAGTAGTTAAAGGGGAAATGGCTTTCATGCAGGGATTAACTAAATCATCTTTTTTTTGGTCAAAGCTTCTTCAGCTTTAAGGGGAGGGAGAATCTGGTTAAATACCTATAAAATTGTAAATGTTGTGGAAGAATTTGAACAGAAGGTAGTTTGTTTCTCACAGTGTTATTTAGTGCTGCCTAGTTTTTTTGTACTGCTGTGTAACAGGCTCAAAATAGGGCAGTGTTTTCACATAAAGTGAATCTACTGCCACACTACAGAGTACATATGCAGTTGGTTCTGGTCTTTAGTGGAAAACAGACAACTTCAGTAAAATCAAGCCTTATGGGCAATGCTTTATATAAATATCAGAAATCTCTATTAGATTTCATTTCCAAAGCGGTTCTTATGGATGCATATTCATGAGACTAAATCTTCTGGCAATGTATGTATTGTATTTAAATGTATTTATACATACATTCCAGTAATTTAAAGTTGCTGTCTACAGTCATTTACACAGAAGCATTATTTTTGGGTCTAGTAGTGAATTGAGAGCTTTAACAACAGTTGATAACTACATGCTTGAAAGAGTTCTGTGTAAATATTAATGTCATACCACTTTTTTATATTTCTGCCTACATTCCTATACTGATTAAATTATTCAACTGGTGCTACAGAACATTGCCCATCCTTGCTGATGTTTAAGTATTCTATACTTAAGTATCAAAGCATGGACACTGAATGAAAGATATCCCAGCAATAAAAGTGGCTTGCAATGTCTGCAGAATTTTGTTGTGGTATTAAAACTTGATTTTAATTGCTCACATACAACATTTTATCATGCTGAGTGATTGGGTAGAAAAATGAAAGATTGCATCTCCTCAGGTGCCACGAGTATTTTATCCTTCTCCTTCCTATGTTTCTTGTCTTTTCACTCTTACCGTTCTGGCTTGATGACTCAATCTTGAGTTGTTTAGTTTGAAAACGTTGGACCCTGGGTGGCTTATGCTGTGCTTTTTCTGAGACTTTTGTTCAGATTCATTGCCTTCATCTCTTCTGAGATGCCAGATGTCCCTTGGGAGATGGGGTTCCATTCCCTGCACTTGACTGAACTATTAGCGACCCACTGAAAATGGAAGGGTCACCGTTAGGATATGCTGTCTCAGCGAGCAGGAAGTACTCAGTGTGCAACTTTCCAGTGTACTGAACACTGTTACTTCATGTAAATCATGATCACTGCCACGTATATCTTTGCATTGATGCATGCAGTTCACTATTTGTCTTAAGACTATGCACAAGAGTGGCTGTTTCTAGATCATAATGTTTGGGATGGCTGAATGTTGGAGGCATAAGGGGGGTAAATGCTGTTGGATATATGACTGGCTAGAACTAACGACAGTGTTGTATTTCCCTACAGATCACGTTTAGGCTGCCAAATCTGCTTGAAGAAATTGATGGATAATATGACTGTTCGAGTACCAGAATCTGTTGCCGATGCTAGACAATCAGTAGATATGAGTAAAAACTCCTAAAAGAAAATATGATAGGGGTTTCAAAGAAGTTTAATTATTTTTATAACTTATTTTTAAATGTGTAATTAAATATGGAAACTTACATAATTGTGAGTTATTTTATATGACTATCAATATTAGATTAATGCTATTTTAATTTTCTTTATAGAACCTCCTATATTTTTACGCTTAAAATGCAATAATACTTCTTACAAGTGATCATTGGATGATAAAACGTTAGCAAGTGTATTACAGATTTCATATAACATTATTCTGCCAAAACCTTTAATGATACTTCAGAACTGGATCACTTCTACAAGACTTCATCTAAAAACCCCTGGGCATTTCTAGGTTTTGGACCTGGATATATGAGAACAAAATTTGTCAGACTGCATGGGCTCTTTTGAACGTGTCATCATTAAAGATGGTATGCTCACAGCTAATTCACGTTCTCAGTAAATATGATGTTTCCTCAGCAAACAGTGGATTTTCAGGGTAGGGATTTTCCAAACTTTGGAATCTTAATGAGATGTGCCAAATTTTGTCTTGCAAAAATACTGTTGAAACCATGAGATCTAGGGGCTGATACAGGATGTTGGCACCTGCAGCTTAATTGCTGCAGAGCATCTCTGTTGCCCAAATCAGAAGTCAATAAACCTCAACTGTATTTGTGTTTGACTATACCACAAATACGGGGATACAGGTGGCTTAGACTAAAGCCTTGGAGCTGTCTATGGGAGAGCATAACCACTGGAGGTAAATTCCTGCTGTTCTCTGAAGATGGCTGAGTTGGGATTGAAGAGGGCAATGTTTGTCAATGTAAGATGTGTTCTGAAATCTTTATCCATTTTTCAGTTTTGAGCTTGTTCGGAAGACAGTCTGATGTTAGCTAGGGCATCCAGCTTAAAGAGAGTCCTAGATTCTGGGCCTTGCTCTCAGGATCACTTCAGTAATGATTGATGTGAAATGACCAAGTATATTTACTCCATAACGATGGAGTGGGTTCACCAGAAAGGGTGGGGAGACCCCCATGGTGGGATAGCGTGTGAACTGATGATGAAGAGCTTTCAGTTGGATCTTGTTTTAGTCTTTCTAAAGTAGATGAAAATAAATAATGTCTCTAAGAGTCTGTCTTATTCACTCCAGTTTTTGTTGCCTAAATACTTAAATGAAATGGTTGTCACCAATACAATAGTTGTTACCCGTATAAGGTTATTTTAATATTTTGGTTGTATTTATACATATTTACATATATAAAAAAAAACATGTTTGTTTACATTTGAATGATCTAATGCATTCATTGATGCCTTATTTGAACTGGTAACAATGACATCTACACATCTTTTCCTGCATTATTGTATTTATGGCACAGGGGAAAACATTATTTTTCCAGTGTTGAATAATGGGATTATTTTGAGCTTCCTAAAGAGAGGGGGGGGAAAAAAAAAAAAAAAAAGTCCCTCTTCATTATAAAAAGAAATATTTTCTAGAACTGTGTTGAAAATAGATCTAGTTCAGATTCTTTGATTTCTTCTCTGAGTAGCTATTATTTTGTTTTCTGGTGTTCCCTTTAGACTTTCCCCTAAAACAAGATATGCTTAATGTGGTCTGCTCAGCACTTAACCATACAGGGCTTTTCGAATACACTTCTTATCTCATCTAATTCAAAATATGACTTCAGAGTTGAAATTTGCTGGCTTTTTGAAAAACAGAGCAAGGTCAGGGAGAAGGGTGGAAATAAGTTGAAGATATGTTCTGAAGATACTGCAGTCTTCAACTGCTGTGACTCCAACCGTAATTTAGAGGTTACCGTCCCACAATCAGATGCTAAGGTAAATCAGTTCTCACTTTGTATTGTCTTCGTCCTGAATTCATTTATATACAGTAATTATTATTAAATCTTGAAATTCTTTCTTTACATGAGACAGCTCTTCAGATTCCGAGAGAGGGAACTCGGGTCATAACCAGATGTACTGTGCATTTTTCCATCAGAATAAAATCTGAGGTTTTGGTATAGCTCTGGGGTTTAGGGGTAGATGTTGGTGTTTGTTGGGTTTGGGGGTTTTCTTGGGTTTTGTTCTGGGTTTTGTTGGGGTGGTATTTGTTATTTGTTTTTACATACAGCACCAGGCACTTCTTGTGGGAATCTTGAAGTGCTTAACACTGTTAAACAAATGTGAACCAGCTCTTGTGTGACAGTTCTTTTTAAGCCAAGGTCGTTTTGTTGTGCGTTTCCTGTGACAGCTTCTCGTTACAAACACTTTGACTCTCCTACAGTGTGCCTGTGGAAGGAATTATTTGGCACAATACGGCAAAAAAGGACTCTTCAAAGTTCATTTTGAATTCTAGAGGTATCCCATATTAAGGAACTGGCATGTAATCCCCAAAATGCACAGCTCAGAGATACCTGTTTCGTTATTGTCAAATTGTTTGCAAATAAATCTTATTTTATACCACTTTCTGACACCTCTTGTTTGTATTGATTTTTCTTCCTTTTTTTGCAAGCCAGCAAATGTATTTCTGGATGTAAAGTGGAACTTAACAGTTAATGATGCACATTCAGGTGTAAGTATGAATTGTGCAATGACACACAATTAAAGCATCAAAATTAGATACATATATATTTTTTTTTTTCGTCCGAACATAGGTTACAGGTACCTCACTTTCTAAAAGCATTTCCTTTCTCTGTTAAAACATGGAGTCAGTGGGTCTCTTTGGTCTCTCTTCCCTAAAAAATAATGAGAAAAACAAAGCTGACTTCGTTCCCTTTGATTCTAAACTTTACTTGACAACACTTGCTCACAGTCTGGCTTCAAACAGACCTTTAAATGGCAACCATTTCGGTGTGTGTGGGGGGGTGTGTGCTGCCTTATCATTCCTGGCGGTGAAAAGGTCCTTTGGAATTGCTTGGGCCAGGCTAAAACCATTTTCAGTCCAAAGGAAAGGTCTCGTAGTCCCTGCTGCCTTTCTGGGAGCACAGGGGAGCTGGGCTGTGGCTCTAGGTCGTGTCCCTTTCCTTCCACCCACTTAAGCCCCAGCTGGGTTCAGTGTCCAGCTCGTTTCTGCTCAGGGCAGGGAAGGTGGCCACAAGAGCCGGCAGTCCCTGTCCCCGTTTCTGTGGCACTTTGTGCGTGCGTGTTTGTGTGATGTCTGAAGGCGAAAGGGGGAGGGAGGTGCCTCGTGCTTCTGCAGCGCTACTTCCCATTCTGCCGGGGGAAGTTTGGATCATCAGAACTGCAAGCTGGCACTGAGGAGAGGAAAAGACAAGTTCTCCGGGCAGTTTGTTACTTCTTGGACAGAAAAACTCCTAATCTGAAGTTCACCAACTTTTGGCTACAGGGCTCCAAAAGATTTAAGGCGTTGTGTCCAAACTTAATTCACATTCCAGGTGGAGGCAAGCTGAAAAGGCCGTGTCCAGAAAAGCTGCAGGGAAAGTGGCAGTGCTTCCCCCACTCACAGCTCGGGGCTGGGGCACGGAGATGATTCCTCACAGCCTGACCTCACCACTGCGTCAATGTGCTATACAAAAATAGTGGAGACCCCCAAAAAATAATAATCCTCGTTCCTTGGGAGGAAAAAGGAGAAATAAATCTTTAACGGAGGAGAAGAGATGTTCAAGTTGAGTCACTGAGATAGTGAATAGTAGAAATCATTGGGAAGAGCCTGCAGCTGTTGTAGGTGATTTCAAATGCTCTGGAAAGATGTGAAGGGGGCGGGAATTTCCTTCATGGGTCTGGGGACTGTTGCCTGTGTGCGTGCCTGTGTAGATCCACGCACTGCTGCAAGCTGTAGTGCCAGGAGAGCAACAAGAAACATGGTCCATACATAAAACAACAGGCGTTAAAAGTAACCCTGAGATTTACTTTCCAATCTACTGGCCATCACTTCCTTTTTTTTTAAGTTAAACATTTTTCTTTTTAATGTGAACCAGTCCAAATTAAAAAATGTCGTAAAAGTGATTTCTGACCAGCTGTGATGTAGCATTTGCAACTCTACATCCAAAGCTGCGGCCTCATTGTGCTCAGAGGAGTATTTCTGGGGTCGCCCTCCATGGTTCTGGAAGCTCCCTTGACCCCTCAGCCCAGCAGAAGAAACCTGTTTTTGAGCACTGACACTGCTTGTGTGCTTCCACGAGCGGTGTTCCTTCGGTCGGGCCAGTGTAACCTGCCTTGTGCCTAACCCCTCCCAGAGCACAGCACCTTCTTCCTCCAGCCGCCCCCAGGGCGCGTCTCTCGCACTTGCTGGGGATGCGAGAGGATAAAAAGGGCTTTGTACCAACTCAGTATAACCTGCCTTACACCCACTCAGGTCCAGCGGAGTTTTTGTCTTCCCTTTTCTGGCTCTTTTAGAGCGTGTCTGTGCTAGAAAACAGGATATAGTCTGAAATTCTCTCAGCTGGTGCTGACCCCAGGTGGTAAATCCCTGCAGCACTGTGCTAGGAGGGATTAAAATTTGGGTGTGGGAACAGCACAGTGTATTAAAGCAGCCGTGCATGTGAGCCCAGCTCGGCTACGGGTTTTGGATGGAGCTGGTTACCGTGGAGCTGGCTCGGCTGCCTGTGGCTGTGGACGAAACACAGGTTCAGCGTTACAGTGGAAAAGAGCTCTTGCTGGGTCAGGCCGGGCTGCCACGGCTCTGCCCGCGCCCCGCCGGCGGCAGGGCTGAGCCCGTTCTCCCACGAACAGACAGATGCCCAGACACGGACACACGCGCACTGGCCGTGCCGATCGGTGTGGGCAGAAAACACGGTGCCAGCCATCTGCCCCGTGAACCCCAACCCCCCCAGGCAGCACTCCCTGTCTGGGAGCTGATGGAGAGCTTCTGCCATTGACCGGGGGGGGCTGAGGGCTCCCCAGCAGCGCCCTCAGGGGCTCAGCTGGCTCTGCAGAGGTTATGGGGGTTCCCCTGCCTGCCAGGGTGCCTCTGCTCCTTCATATTCGCGGGGATGAGCTGTCAACCGCATAACCTAACACTACACAATGACGGGACGGGACGTTTGTGCTCCTGGTTTCTCCAGCACCTCAGCAGGCAACAGAGGATGTGTTACACATGGGCACTGATAACGACATGGGGCACTGGTGCCAAGTGACTAACTGCTTCCAGATCCTCTGGAGAAGTCTGCAGGGACCCGTGGCAGCTGTACCCGGGCTGCAGCTACGGCTGGGTTGGTTTTCTTCCTGCTGGCAGCAAACTGCCGCTGGCAGCTCTTGGGGCGAAATCTCTGGGTTTGGAGAAATCTATCCCATCTCACTGAAAGAAATGCCAAGCCATAGATGGCGTTTCTCCTCCAGACTGTGTTTGATCAAAAATGGCTTTCCTTAAGGATCCAGTTCTGGATCAAACAAATATCCAGACAAGTTGGACATTCTTACTCCATCCAAGTGCATCTGAGCAGGTTCAGAGGCAGGCTCACAGCTCATTCTTGTTTTACCCTTCCTCAAGTAACAGCTCTGCTTCGCACAGGTAAGCCAGCACTCGCTTTTGATCTGGTGAGAGCTCACAGGCTTTGCTGGTAATAGTTTGGAAGAAGGGTATTGCCTTTCTAGAAAACTCTGACTGGAGGGGAGGAAGAGAGAGAGAGGGAGAGCTGACGCAAGATCATAGTGATGCAGCTGCAGCCTCCTGGATCCAGGAGAGCGGCAGATATATACCACCCAGGGAGCCAGCGATAGGTTTTGGCTGGGGATAAAGGTAAAAGGTCTCATCTCAGAGGAATGTTTAACAACAGATGAAAATAGCTGCAAAAGAAAACAAATGGTGTCACAGAGACAAGGCATATGGTAGCTCAGAGTGGCAGGGAGGCTCATTCAGGCTGTGATTCAGTTCCAGGGGACTGATGGCTATCAGGAGGAAGCACAGCAGGGGATGGCCAGAGCAGGAGAGCCTCTGCTTCAGATTTCAGCACTTTTTTTTTTTTCTTCCCACCTAATTGAGCTCTTACGATCATCACAGCCACTGGATTTTCATCAGAAAATTAGGAAAAACATATTCTGTCCTGGCACGGAGAAGAAAAAACAATCCATGTCCCTTGCCTTGAAGTTTCCTGCTCTTCTGGGGCTGTCCTTCAAGGAGAAGGGCAGCACAGGAGCTTCTGAGGCAAAGGTCTGAGGAAGCAGGGCAGACCTGCCCCAAGGGTGAATGTTGCCATATAATCAATCATAGAATGGTTTAGGTTGGAAGGGATCTTAAAGATAATCTAGTTCCAATGATCTTTAATTGATCTTGCCATGGGCAGGGACACCTTCCACTAGACCAGGTTGGTTAAAGCCCCGTCCAGCCTGGCCTTGAACCCTTCCAGGGAGGGGGGCAGCCACAGCTGCTCTGGGCAACCTGTGCCGGTGTCTCACCACCCTCACCAGAAATAATTTCTTCCTTACATCTAATCTAAATCTATCCTCTTTCAGTTTAAAACCATTACCCCTTCTCCTATCACTACACTCCCTGATAAAAAGCCCCTCCCCATCTCTTCTGTAGGCCCCCTTTAAGTACTGGCAGGGAAGCTCATGAGACTGGGATCTCTCTCCACTGAGTGATGTATTCAAAAAACATTCTATAGCCAATTCCAACAACTGGTGTTTGAGCATTGAATGCAAGCTTCACATTAAAAATGACCTTAATTAAGGACTTAATTGCCAGTCTTTATTCTCTACTGCTTCTGCATTTTATTAAGTATTTGTCTCTGGATAAGAAGGATAGGAAAGGTTTAGCTACTGATTTGCCTGTTATAGTACTTATTTTCAGAGGTGAAAATGCCTAAAGGAGGCACAAGACATCAGAGACCTTTACAGCAGCACACAGAAATGAAGGGGGAAAACCAATTACCCAGGAACAGGAGTTAATTCTTAGAATAAAAGCACAGAGTAACCGCAGGATATTTGCTATGGTATTTCATCGCTTATGTAACTGGCTAATCAGTTTTGTCAACTGCCCAGCACTGGGCTGCTCCTGGTATACCATAAAGCCCTGCCTTCACCATAAATAATACATTTAATCCATTTATGCTTCTGTCCAGCTGAAGAGCCTCTATAATGGCTCTAGATCCCAGGAATTTGTAACATTAACTTTTCTCTGAGTGTCAGGTGCCAGAAATACTTACTCTCTGGCAAAATAATTTCCCCAAATCTTTTTGCTAGTGAGTGAAAAATGAATCCCATATCCAAGGTTGAAGTGAGCTTGAGCTGCAGTGAGCTTGAGTGCAAGTACAACTGCTCTGGCACTTGCCGTATTGCAGGATTGCAGACATAGTCAGCAGTTCATGGTTTCTGCAATGAGATATTATTTACGAGACCAATAGAGCTTTTTTTGCTCCATCAAATCCTTGAGTGCATACAAAATTACACAGGAAGGTTCTCTTGCTGAAAACTTGTGGTCACCTTAAAGCCTGGAAGGAGACCCGTGGTGTTTAAGAAGTTCATTCCTGGCAGCAAATCTGGGTGGGTGCTGCTCTGACAGCAGC